GTTTCATTGACAGACTAAATGCTCAGCTTGCACTAAAAGATATGGGTGAATTACATCAATTTTTGGGAATTGAAGTAAAAAGGGATTAATCTAGAATGCATCTCACTCAAACTAAATACATAAGGGACTTACTAAAAAGGTTTAATCTTTAGCATCTGAAACCTTGTGCTATACCGATGACAGTCGGTAAGTATATCTCCAAAGATGATGGTGAGAAATTTCAGAACTCCTCTCTGTACCGAAGTGCCATAGGTGGATTGCAGTATCTCAGTCATACACGACCTGATATTTCCTTTTCAGTGAATAAATTAAGCTAATTTTTGCAAGCTCCTTCTGATATACATTGGTAGGCAGTTAAGAGGATCTTTAGGTATCTAAAAGGAACTATCAAGCAAAGCGTTTGGATACAAAGGGCTGGTAGAATTGATGTCACATGTTTTGCCGATGTTGATTCGACGTCTTGCCCTGATGACAGGAGGTCAACGGCTGGATATTGTGTCTACTTAGGAGACACCTTGGTGTCCTGATCCTCAAAGAAACAACAAGTGGTGGCAAGATCTATCACGGAATCAGAATACTGGGCCCTGGCACAAGTTTCAGCTGAAATCACTTGAATTGAGTCACTACTTAAAGAAATCAAGTTGCAACCTACTTCATCTCCTATCCTGTGGTACGACAATCTCAGAGCCAGTGCTCTAGCTTCCAACCCCGTTTATCATGCTAGAACAAAACATATCGAATTAGATATACACTTTGTTAGAGATAAATTCCTTGAAGGGAAACTCAAGATACAATACATTCCATCTTTAGATCAAACCGCAGATCTCATGACTAAACCTATGTCTCAAACCAGGTTTTTGTTTCTCAAAGACAAGCTTGGAGTAAAGGAATGAACTCCAGCTTGAGGGAGGATGTGAAAATTATTTCCACTCCTGAATTAATCATGCAAGCATGTGGCTGTTGTTGATATCGTGAGCTGCTATCCTGCACTATTAGGGACCACACTTATTGTTGTAATTGATTTTTATTCCTCACGTGATTACTCATTTTTGTTATCTTGCTCTCCACTCAATTCCTTTTATATATGTATCACCTCACTTATACTCAATATTATGATTGAATAGCTATTTTCTCCAGCTTATAGTTTAACTCTTCATTCTTCAATTTCAGCTATTTTAACTAGAGGCAAAATAATCGGAATGCGAATTTAGTGGCGATAGTGATTAATTGAGTTTTTAAAATATTAACTATTGTAACTATGTTACTTTAATCCTTTTGTTGGGTTCCTAGTTTCCATGATTACATTAAAATTTACAAGGATCGTACATTGAAAACATTTGAATAAATATATAAATACTATTACGTATTATTTTTTGTGAGTTACAATTACAAATGTTATTTCTAGGGTAATAAAGGTTTTATAAATTTACACAAGAGAAGATATTGAAATTTACAAATTTGGCCTATGTTAGACTGCTGGGTTTTGATACCCAATAAATCTCAAACGATGAATTAAACTGTTACCGACAACTAAGTTCAAAGGCTCGATTCGAAAACAACGTGGACCATGTGAAGTAATTTAAGAAATTAATGTTGTTCACAACTCATATATTTACTTATTTGATGACTTTTGATGTTGACACATTTAACCATTTTATTGGTTCAATTAAAGCCTAACCTATCTTATATATGTTGCTTTTGACCTAGCCCTTTTTTTGTGTGATTTGTGAATTAGAGTAAAGAAAACGTGGGTGCTTTGTGCTTCCAAAAACCGGTTGCCATAAGGTGAAAAAGGTGGCTGCTCCTTTGTGTATGAAAGAGAGGAAAAACGGGGCCATTGCGAGCCTTTCGTGCCTTTTCTTCTTGTTTCTTCTTGAGATTAAGATGCAATCGAGGTAAAAATATTGGTTGAGGGTTGGAGCAGTCTGAATTGATTGTTTGATAGATAAAAATAACATAAAATTGAACTCGAAAATTACCATTTCGAAAATTTTAGAACGAGCTTCCACGACATTGACAACTAATTTATAAATAGCTTATAAGTCAATCAAAATCAAATATAATTACAGAGTTGATCTAAGAAAAAAAAAAATTAAGAGCAAGTTTACAAACAGAACTCGGGGCGCTACAAGGGTGGTGGTAGGGGCTCCAGGGACCTGGCGGTGGGGAGACTCTTTAGCTGGCTATTGGTGCTGCTTGTGGTGGTGCAGTGGTGTTGGTACATGTCCTGATGGTGGTGTTACATGTGGTTGGTACATGTGGTGGTGGATTAGGCGGTGGCGGTGAGGAGAGGTGTTGGTTTTGATTTTTGTTGTTGGAATAGTTGTGGTAGTTTCTATATTTTGATGGTGTAGGTGGAGTTGTTGGCGCTGTCGGTGAGGTTGGAGGTGACGACGATCGACGATGGTTATGGTAGTTGTGGTCATGACGATGGTGCATTGGTTGTGAGTGGGAGGATGTGGAGTGAGGGTGTTTGTGACCAATTATTTAAGTCAATGACCAATAAATTGGATATTTTGTGATTAATAAATAATATGTGAATTGTGACCTAAAAAATTGAGTCGTGACTTTAACATTAGTAATTTGTGACATATGATTTTTTGTTATTTGTGATCGATGAATAAATTGCGACTTATAAATTTTTTGATTTGTGACCATAAAATACTTTGTGATTAGTAACCGATAAATAATTTGTAACCAATTAATTCGATAATTTGTGACCAAATAGTATAGAATTGTGACATTAATATATTTAATTAATAAAATATATATTTAATTAATTGTTTTATAAATAAAATTTAATTAATATCTGATTTTTGAAATAATAAGCAATGTTTCTTAATTTTGGAATAAGTTAAACTTAATATCTTAAATATGAATTTTTTTTCTTTTTTTTTTTAACAACATATTTTAAAAAAAATTATTATTTTTCTCATTATAATTTGAAATAATGAGGGCAAAACGGACGCTTAATTTTGTGTACTTGACTTCTATCGAATAAACATCTTTACTTCTACTTTCGATTGAAGCAACTATAACAATATTTCTTTGCGCAATAGATTTAAAGCGTTTATGGCTCTACAAGCGCCCGTTAAGCGTAGCCAAACATGCTATTAGACTTATCATATTAAGTTGTGAAATATAATTATTCCTTCGTCGTGCAGAGTCAGTTTGAGGAGTCGAAGCCATCTGGCCAAACACTTATTAACGACAGTTCAAGAATTTCACAATTATAAATTTCGTTTTTAACCGAATTTGCTTTATAAATAAGAAACTATCATTAAGATTTTGTATTATCATAAAAAAGATAAGAGATTTTGGAAAAGATAAGAGTGATTTCTTCTTGTAAATTTTTTTTTCATCGTAGCGGTTTACTGTAACAGTAAAAAAGGACGTAGTCTCACAATGAAACGAATTTTTATATATTTTATGTATTTTTGTATATCTACTTTTTTTTCCTGTGATTTAATTATTCTCTGTAACATAGAATTAGAGTTCTAATTCTCAATATCTCCATTCGTCGGGTGATTATAATATAAAAAATTACAAACATTCCTCGATAGATAAAAGACAAATGTACACTGTAGCTCCGAAAGAGAAACGTCTTTGGTGTGGTGTCAAAGTACGTATAGGTATAGGTTGCTTGTCCATTGTATTGTTATTGTCGTTTTGTAGAAATCTATTACCTATAGGATCTGCCCCTGCACCCTACCTACATACATTGTCACCTTTTTGCTTCACGGATTTATAATAAAATCTAACTACTCAGAAACCGAATCTATAGAGAAGAAACATTTTTGGGTTGAGATGTTTCAAGAATCAGAGTCTCAAAATAAACAAAGAAAAAATCTAAGCCCCAACTTGTTTCACATTATTTTATCATGAAAATGAATTTTTTGACTCTTTTTTTAAAAAAAGTGAGTCTCACCCTGAGACAAAGTGATCAAATATTGCGATCGATACCCCTAAACAACGATAAAATTCTCCTTAAAATACCAAACAAACAGATTCTTATAGAGACTAGACAAGAACGAACTTGTTCATTTCAAGTTCGATTCTTGAAACGTCTCAACCACACCAGACCTTGATGCTCTCAATTCAAATTTTCGTTAGTTACATACTATTCGTGATGTTTAACCGTGTATAAGAGCATCACCAATTGTAGTGTAAAATATATTTAAATTATAATTTTAAAAATATCAATTTACACTCTCGAGGAAAACGAATTTCACTTTAACTGTTTAATTGCAACGTGAAAATGAAAATCGAATTTCAAGATACAATCACTTTAAACTGCATTTTCTTTATTTTCATGAAAAATGAATTTCTATAAATTTGGTAAATTTTTATTTTTCAACCAACATGAAATTAAAATTTCTTTTCAATTTTACTTATGAAACGGACCCTAAAAGCAGAGCAGCCTGGAATGAACTGAAAAGTGAAAAACGGGTTACTGAAATGGGAAAAGCGTGTTTGGCTCTGTTTGATTATAGTATGCAAAGTACATTAAAGGGCACGCAAATTTAGGCAGTATGAGGTCAGAATCAGACTAGTTGGATTATACCTGAAGTCAAAGCGGAATCCCGTAACTTTTGACATTTTTCGTACATAAGAGAAAATACGCACCGTACAGTGAAAATCTAACATGATTTACACTCATATCGAAGTAAATATTTCGTAGTGTTCGAAAAAAAAGGTAGAACTTGACGAGGAAAGAAGACTTGAAGATACTTGACATTCCATTTTCTTTGGAAAAAAATTACTACTTCTTTTATAAATGAAGAACAGAAACGTTGGAAACAAACCGATGACAGACTCGCCACTGAACAAAATTCTTGTTGGTTCTTTTTCTTTCAGGACATCGAAAACCGTACAGTTAAAATCAGATGAAGTCTCGAATTTTACTTAACCACCATTCATGATGAAACCTGCCTAGCAAAGTAGCTAAAACTTCGAAGTGAACCATTTTTCCAGGTTTCTAATTCTGCAACCAATATCCTTCAGTCATTCCAGAGTGCAAACATAGGGACCTGATTTACCCATCCAGAATTTGGTATTGGATTAGCACTTATTTGATCACTCACATTAGTCCCCTCTTCGTACTTCTCCCCTTGCAACTGGAAATATGGTTGAGAATAACTTGCACCACCCCCAGACTCCACATCCCTTCTGGCAGAACCCGAGACTGGTCCCTTGAGACCTTGCGGGCTAGAGGAATTCCTGCTGGTCGATCCAGCCAATTGTTCGTTAGTGTTCACATTTGCAAACTGGTTGTGCAGAGGCTGATCAGTGCCAGCATTCCACATCATCTCTGTCAATTCATTGCAAGGCTTTCCATTTGTAATTTGGAGAAGAGATTGAGAAGAGGCCATTGACGCGCAAGAATTGTAATCCTCAAGGGAAGTTGAACCCGAGTCCATAGGGGAACGCTTAATGAGGTCTCCTGCTACAAGGGTTGAACTTGAGCAAATCCTCTTAACGTCGTACCTACTTATTTCAAAATTGGTCACGGCACTCGTCCCTCTAAACTTAATTGCAGCAATATCATAGGCTTCCGCAGCTTCTTCTTGTGTACCTAGGTTTTTAGGAAAGATGTAATAAATATGAAGATCACAAGACTACAAACTGCAACGAAACATGCTCCTTCAAAGCTTTCGTGCGGGAATTAACTCTATACAAGTTCACGTGCTTAGTTATAAATTCATTAATAGAAGGTACCACCGAAGATAATCACAAAGTTAAGTAAATTAGCAACATAAACTTACTGAAGGTACCAAGATACAAGTCCTTGTTGCCGGCAACCCTTCCAATTCGAGCTTGCCACCGCCCATGCTGATGGTGCCTGCTTGAAATTAGACCCACCAAATTATCACAAAGAAAAAATGCACCGTAGGTAGATACAAATATGTTAACTTCCAATGTACATTCATAGTATAATTCATGCATTTGTCTGTTACTGAAAAATAACGAGTGAAAGAGCTGCCAAAAAATGCAGTAAATAATGAACACAAGTTTTTTTCCTGCCACAACCTTGTGACTCCTCTGTACATTGACGCTCCTCTGGAAAACCCACTGCTCTTCCTGACGATATAAAAACAGTTTTCTACTAATCAGTTTCAATTTTTTTCCTCTAAAAAAAACAGAATAAAACATATGCATATATCTATATATATACCTTCTTAAGTGGGCAACAAATTCTTGTCTGGTCATGTTTTTCATCTCTTCAAGCTCTTTCTCATAGGTGCTTAACTGATTAATTATACAGGATTAAAGTTGAAGTTAATCCCAACAAAAACATTTGATTTTTTTAACTTTTGGCAATTGAAATGGCTCAATTGAAAGAACATGAAAGCATCAAAAACCAACTTACAGGAAAATTAATGTGAGTAGTTGGACCCCAATATTTTAAAGCAGCTAAATCATAAGCCCTAGCTGCCTTTTCTTCTTTATCATAACCCCCTGAAGGGAAAAAAATTACAGAAAATAATACTCTTAAAAGAAAGCAGTCCTTTTAACAAAAAATATTAAAATTTGATTAAAAGTTCATCACAGAAATCTTGATACAAAGAAGAATAATGCACAAGGAAGAATTACGTACCAAGATACACTAGTTGAAAATATTCAGTGAAGGGAGAATAAATCAGAATTTGAACGAAAAAAATGGTTAGTATATTCTTTTAAGGGGAGAAAGATACATGCATATAGAGAAAATGAATGAATGGAAAAAGTTACGTATTTTCTCACCTTGTCTTCCTTTTCTTGTTTGTCCTTCCTTTCTGCAACTGTTATCCCACAAATGAGCCTCATATCTTCCAGTCCATCGATGCCTAGCACAGTATCACGATCGACAGCAAATCAAGAAGAAAAGGCAAAATAAAAAAGAGACATAAGTGCAGAATCCCAAGGTTCCGAAACAGTTTTTAATTTTTTTTGGTTTTGAAAAACTACAATTTACCTCGTAACACCGCGATATTGAGAGGTTCTTTGTCCAAAAGTATCAATTGATTTACGTGGTACTGGTTCCCCAACAGCAGAAGACTTTGCTACTGCCCGCTTCTTACCATCGGCGGCCGAGCGCAAAGGCGGCGGCGCCAAACCCGGCTGGGAACTGGGGCTCATAGTTAGAGAAAGAGCTTGAAAGTTACTGCTGTTCTCCGCTGGAGGTTTCTCAGTCAGAAACTGAGTTTGGCGCAACCAGGACTTGAACCCAGAAACTGAAGTTTCAGCACTATCAAACGCTACATGGCACACACCATTAGCGGCATGGTTAGGGTTAGCATCACAGGTTTCAAGCTGCCCACCAGCTGGGACTATACTATAGTGATATGGTTCAAAAAAGGAAGACGGATTTGTGAAATTTTCTCCTCTGTCAGCATCTCCATCAGAAGTATCCAAGTTCGGTGGCTTGTTAACATTTATTTCACCAGGTTCAGATTGACAGTAAACTTTAGGTTCAGTCGGAGGAGAATTTGAGTAACAACACCCAAGAAAATCTTCAAATTTCGGACCCTCCCCATTAGGGTTTGATGCCCCCATATTCCATTCTACCAAAAAAAAATAAAAAATTATCGAGATTCATTTCAGTTGATAAAAAAACAATAAAAACAGAAAAAAAATGTTGCAGAAGATAGGATAATGCAAACCATCAGTGCCATTTGAACGCCTAAAAGGATCCAATGCACAAAGAGAACCATCAGGGCTCAAAGGCATGATAGAAATAGGAGTGTGAAAACAGCCCTCTCGAGCGTTTTCATCTTGTGAGGGATTTTCATCTCTTCCAAAGGCTTCTTCTTCATCATCAACTCTCAGGTGTGGAGTCCGAGAAAACCCCAGCCAATTACTCATACTGACTGCTTATTATTTTGATATTTTTGTTCTCTCGAAAAAATCAGAACAAACCCTCACCACTCGATCAATTTGAGCTCGAACTTCAAAGTTTAGGAAAGAAGACTTGTATATGTAATTAAACTTGTGGCTCAAAAAACCAAACAAAAGAAGCACGACAGTACATACGATAGATACAGAAAATGTGTGTATATTGTCATCAAAAACCCTGATCTGTAAGAAAATAGTTTTGTAATATTTCAGAATCTATGTATCTATATCGTTTATTGTCACTGCTCTCTGTTCTGTGCATTCTTCAATAAAAACCTCGTTTTTCGTTCCTCCTTTTCATTTCATTTTTCTGAATTTTTGCAGGTTGTGGTCATTGAGTGCGGCTATCATCTTCTGTTACGCAGGTCTAAAGTCATTCTCAATAGTTATTTCTCTGTATGATTTGTAGGTGGACTTTTAAGTTGTTGACTTACGAGTTACGAGTCTAATTCGATAGTTCCTACTACAGTAAACCACGACATTACCCTTTTGTCCCTTCCGTTCCGTTTCAAGTCTTAAACACGCCTTTACTGTAATGCAAAAGCTGTGGCCAAACGGCATTCTCCTGTCCGTTTTATTTAGGGAAAATTCTACTATTACAAGTTTATCAGGTTTTCTTCATATCTCACTTGCATAGTGTTTAGATTATTTCACCGAATCAACTAGCTTTTAGAGTATTAATCATTCATTATATTTTCGGTCCATGAGATCCTTGAACCACTTGCAACCACCCTAGGGCCTAGGATATCATAATTGAATCGTTGTAGAAGAGGCTAACCGTTGATGAAGAGCCGAGCATATATACAATCAACCAACACAAGTTATCAAAAATTCTTGGACACAAATCAAGGCCAACCTCCCCATAACACAAGACGCGCCACATATAGATATTATTTTAAGCAAAAATGCGAAGGCATATAAGTGAAAGAACGATTATAAAAGATATCAAATAAGAAATTTCATGCAAATGAATTGACAACCCATCGTATTAAAAATAGTCAAAATGTCGAATATAATCTTGGCTTAAACCTTCTTTATAAATACCACAAAATCACATAACAATAAGGGAGGCGATATTCTCTAACTCAATTCGAAGTTTTTTTGTTCCTTTGGTTTTCCACACTCAATCTCGAAACTTGACTTGTGTGTTGGAATACAAATGGCTGTTGCACCACCCCATGAACAACAACTTTGCATCATAACGCGTTGTCCAAGTGTCGAGTAGGTAATTTACAGGTGCTTGAACCTCTTAAAAGAGGCCCTCGTACGATTTTGAGGTGAACAAATTTAAATGATGTCTAAAATGTTACGGATCTTTCATGAGAATTGCATTATAGTTTTTTGAAAAAAATAAAATGGTACATTAAAACTGACTATGAATTACATCGAAATGTCTGAGATTACCTTGTCATTTGTTAAAAATGGTTAAATTAAGCTTACTATAAACGGCCCTTTCTTTTTCTGAGTGTTGCTTTATCATAATTAATGTGCAATTCTTATATTCTCAAGTATTTGTTTGTTTTTTATTCTCAAATTCTACAGTAAATCAATTCTCATTTTCAACCACACATTTTTCAATAAAATAATATTTTCCATCATATCAATAATATTTTCTTCTTTTTCAACCACACATTTCCCATCATATCACTATTCAAAAATCAATTCTTTTCCCAAAAATCTCTACCAAACAAGCACTAAATTTGCTAAATTTGATGTGACTTCTAATTTTCTCCATTGGTGATATACAAATATTTGTAGGTCAAATATAGGGTTGGACAAAACTTCCAAATCGAACCGAACTCGAACCGAACTGAATCAAAACGTTCTGACGGCATAGCGTCGAACCCCACTATCATGCAAAGCAGACTGTGATCCCATTCGTGGGGAAAATGCTCGTGGCATCACTCGATTGTGATGTGATTCTGTATCACTCGACTGTGATATGACTGGANAACTCAAAATTTGGTAAATTGTGATCAATTAATTTGATAATTTGTGGTTGTGAAATAAGTTGTGTCCTATAAAATTTGTGATTTGTGACCGTGAAATAAGTTGTGACCGATAAACAAATTGTGACCTATAAAATTTTTTTATTTGTAACCTAAAAACAAACCATGACTAATTAATTTGACAATACCCTTGTTTGAGCCCCATTTTGATAAAAAAAAAAAAACATTTTGAACTTGTGATTTTTGGAGAATGTGTAGTTAAAAATGAAGAATTTTTTTTTATTTACGTGTAATATTATTTTATTAAAGAATGTGTGGTTGAAAATGAATTTTGAAAAAAATGATTTTTTTATAAAATGAGGCTCAAACAAGAGCTATGTGACCGAGAAATAAGTTGTGATATATGAACACGTAATTGTGACCATAATATATTTAATTTATAAAATATATATTTAATTAATTATTGCATAAAAAAATTTAATTAATATTTGATTTTTGAAATAATAAGTCCCTGTTTGGGCTCCATTATTATAATGAGAAGAATAGTAATTTTTTTGAAAATGTGTGGTTGTAAAAATGAGGATTTTTTTAATTTATGTGTAATATTATTTTATTGAAAAAATAAATTTTAATTTAATGGAGGCCAAACAGGGACTAAACCTTGTTTCCGTTTGACTCTCATTAAATTATAATTCATTTTTCTTTATTTTCTTATCAACCACGCATTCTCCAATAAAATAATATTAAATGTAAATTCAATTTTTTTTCTTTTTTAACTACACATTCTTTAAAAAATTATTATTTCTCCCATTATAACTTGGTGTCAAACAGGGGCTAAGATTAGCCACGTTAAGCATGTCCAGTACCAATTTTTTTTTTCAATTTTAATTATTACCTCATTTTTTTTAAGCCTTTAGGATTACTAGTTTATTTTGCATAATCACTTTTTTTTTAAAATAAAAATATGCACTACAAATTTTCTCACTTAACTCTAACCATGTAATCATCTTCAAACACTTCTTCTCTGGGACAAGTTACATTTTTTGAAAAACTTCATATTCATTTGAAGTTAAAAATATTTCCTGCGAAAGAGCTCATGAGAGCAATTTAGCAAGCTCAAAACAGCGTTATTAATACCACAATACTATGTAAAAAAAAAAAAATTAGCAATAATCTGAAAATCAAAAGTTACATATCTCAGTTCATATACTGGCTTTTATTTAATATGCATTATAAATAATAGAACTAAAAATGTGACAAACAGAAAAACCATGAAAAAAAAATAATTGAAGATGATACAGTTGATTCTCTAACCATAAATTTTATGATAGATACTCTCCTCCAATTAGGGACGGACCCAGCAAACCATCCCAGCCCGGGTGGACTTTGACTAGTCAACGTCGATCGGTCAACGTCAACAATCAGTGATCGTAAAAGTAAGGTCGTTTATTAATACCATCAATGTTAGCACGATGGATATCCTCACCTTGGGTCATGGAGTGTCTAGTGATGCATTTGATAAAACATGAATACCAGGAGAAACTTCTATTACTGATAGGCGCTGGAACAATATAAAATCATGAATGCAACTACTCTTGTTCCATGTCGATGCATTCGTGACCAAAATTTGCAACTAAAGGATCATGCCACGGGAAGGGGAAAAAGTAAAAATGAACTTTAAGAACCGAACAGAGAGGTCTCCTATGCTCTTGTCTGCAATTCATCTTCAGTGAATTACCCATAGATTAAGCAATCAGAATAAAAGACCAGAATCCAACGCGAAGGCCAATAAATAAACAAATGCAAGATTATCAGTTTCACAAATAGACACAGCATCTTAGCACCTATACTTCAAACCAAAAAATATTCTCAATAAATAAAAGTGGTAAAGAGAGAAGGAACTCACGAAAACATTGGTCCAAGTAGGAATCTAGAGTTATGGGTCCTAAGCAAATAGGACATAGATTCGGGTTGGAGGAGGAACCTTTTATGGGTTTTACCAAGTACCAAGCTTCTTTCATCTTCAGCCATCAGTAGCCAGAGGGAGAGGTACTGTGGATTTAACTCGTATTCGTACAGCTTGCCCTGGAAATTTGGTTTGACTTCCCTCACATTCGTAACGAATGAGAGACTTCCATTCCTCGTGCAAGCCAGCCAGGTCCCGCCGGCTTCCCTATCTCTTCCCCCAAGTATTTCACCATCTTCCCACCATCCCAGTGGTGAAGTCAGCGTATGAATGATATATACACACCGAAAAGAATAAATATTTAAACATCGATCACTCAAATTACTTTGAATTTTTCAATTTCTAGCCATATTTAGGGATAATCTGAATTAAGTTTCTATCAAGTTTCTGCTAGCGTCGGTCGGTCCGGAGAAAACCAGCACGCGCGGCCGCCCTCCTAATCGAGTGTTGGGTCCGTCTCTGCCTCCAATGATGATTCTCCATTATTATTTTCTCTAGGGCTGGGCAAAATGTCCGAACCGAACCGAACCGAACCGAACGAGTTTTTTAAAATGAAATACCCGAACGGGTATCCGAATCGAGAACCGAATGGTTTGGTTCGGTTCTCGGTTCTCGACCAAGAACCGAAGAACCGAATAAGAACCGAACTTTTTTTTTTTTATATTGGATAAATTAATTTCTTTTATTTTTTCTAAACAAATTAATAATTTTTTTCTTATTAAATCTTATTAGTTGAACAATTTAGAGTTTATTTATGTTTGTTAGTTGTGTTTTTTTCAATTTTTTCTTATATAGTTTCTTAATAGTTAGTATGGAAAGTCAACCAACTAATAATTACATTAAATAGTTGGTAAGTATTATCAATACTTTAAAATATTTTATATTTGTGACTTCTAATTTATATTTCACTTTTATGTAGATTTGAAGGTTTGAAGCAAATGAATTATTGATATGAATATCGAAGTTTTATTAGTAATATTTACTTTTTGGTATTTGTATTTGACAACTTATTATTTATATGTTATTAAATTAGATTACGTTAATTTGTAAAAGTTAAGATTGAACTTGGTATTTGTATCTACTTTTTGTTATTAATATTGGTATCCACTTTAAGGTATATTTATGTAGTATTATTTTAAATGTTAAAAAATTTAATTATAGTACGGAACCGAACGGAACCGAATAGAACCGAACCGAACCGAACCGAACCGAAACCGAATGGTTCCAAAATTATATTTGGAACCGACGGTTCCATTTACTAAATACCCGAAAATTTCTGGAACCGAAAAAAACCGAACCGAACCGAACCGACCCGCGCCCACCCCTAATTTTCTCGAATGCACAAATATGAAATATGGTACCGCTAAGCTCTAGAGTTCTAATAATATTTTCTTCCACCTAATAGTTAACATAAAAGCATCTCATAAAACAAACAATGTATATTATGCAGACGAGAGCGTGAAAGAAGAGATGGACACAAGATCAAAGTTCGTTTGTTCCTAAGAATTTCGAGATCTTCAGACCAAATAATCTTTGATTCAACTGGATACAAAGAAATGATTTAGAATCACAATCTCGTTGAACGACAAATACTGAGTAATTGATTTGATTAACAAATAGTTAATTCACATCCGAATACCAACTTGGTTCAATAATGATTTTTTTTTCGGTCAACGATAATTTTTATTCAAACCAAGCCATCTCATTCAAAAGTTGCCAAAGTAAGAGCTTGAATACCACTTTTAAATCCATTGAACGTGACATGGATATGAATCGTTGAAGGTACTGCAACCCGTAAATCCTTAAATAATGTCCCTCTTTCGAACTAACATTAAGGGAAAATAAAATAATTTTAAAAATGCACTAAACATGCTAAAATATACTTTAAGAGCATGTTTGAACCTCTCTTTTTTTTTTTTTTTGCCCAAAATACATTTTAAAATAGTATTTTGATGGAGATTGCATGGTTAAACAATAAGAAAAAGTTTTGTATTGCGTATAATATTATTTTATTGAAAAATATGTGGTTGAAAATAAGATAGAGAAAAATGTATTTTTAAAATAATATGGATCATACAAGGGGCTAAGTATGTTTGTGGTGGCTTATTCATGTGCATCAATATATTTTTGGGAATCGTCGAGAGAGGAGAGAACATCTCAACTTACCTACCCGGTTTAAGAAAAAAAGGAGAATGCAAAACAGAACGCAATATGATCTCCCTAGGTTAGTGCTTTTGTACGAAGTTTTCTAATTTATGTTTATTTCACAAAAATACTTTAAAATGTCAAGTTCTCTCACATAATGTGGGTTCCACGATCGCGGGCCCTACCCTCCATGTAAGAGGGCTGTAAAGTATACTGTACAAAAATGCTATACATGTAGCAAGTTTGAAAATTCCATTTCCCTTGCCTTATTCAACTCCTCCCAAAGTTGCCATAGTAATTGCATTGTCAAGTCAAGATATGCTAAAAGTAGATTGTGCAATGCAAGGTACAAGCAAGAACCTTCAAATGCCCATTTATAGAAAGCACAAACTTAACCCCACTAAGAAGTATACTTTCATTTACATTTATGATTTAAATAAATCGATATAGACGTTAACATGAAAAAGAAAAAAAAAAATCAATCTACATTGTATATACAGTTGCCACAAACAGAAGTGTCCACAATGTGGGTAGACAATTGGATGAGACCAAATTGTGACAACCTATTATTTGTATATGTTACTAAGCCCCTATTTGACACTCATTTTTTCTCATTTTCATTCTTTTTTTTTCTCTCTTTCTTCATTTCAACCACACATTATATCAATAAAATAATACTACAGATAAACCCAAAAATTCTCATTACTTTTTAACCACACATTCTTTCATCAATCACTATTACAGAATTTATTTTTTGTCAAAAATGGGTGTCAAACATGGGCTAATATTACAGCCAATGTTAGTATATACAGACCTTTTGGTGAGAGGGACGGCTAGGATTAATTCTTTAATTTGGAGATTGGTGAGACTTTTGATCATCCTATTCCTATTACTCGTAGAAAAAAGAAAGCAATGAATGAAGAGAGAATCTCGCAGGTGAAGTAAACGAGGAGGAGACAAATATCTGTCTCTCTCTACGGATAGAGAGAATACTCCAACCAACAGCCCCCACCCACGAGGCGCCAGTCCGCCGCAAGCACACAGAATCCTCCTCAGTGTGTGCGTGAGAGAGAGTACGTGTACGCTCAGATTTCAACTGATTTCTGGGCTTGTGTGATTCCAATTTCCACCTCAGAGTTTTCTATTTTCTACAGAGTTTCTTGGGTTTTGAATTTCAAGGTAAACCCAGAGAACATTTTTCCAAGTTTGGTTATGTTTTGTTTGGATTTCTTTGGTTGCAATTTATGCAGATATTTCCATGTTTCGTTTGCTATCCTTATTCCAAGGAGAATACTTGTGAACATATCAGTTTAATCTTTAAAGCCGTTGTGATCAGCAAATTGTAATTCTTTTGTCAATCAAACCTTTTGAATCTTCTTGGCCTAGCCAAAAGATTGATCTTTTTGCTGATTCTTCTGAAGTTTTTTTTCAAATTTCGTTTTTTCTGAAACACAGCTGATTTTTAGAACCAAAACTTTGCTTAGAACTCAAATCCAACAAAAAGAGAAAAAAATGAAAAAGTACCTTCATCAATAAAAGATATCAGCTTTCATAGGCTTAGATAGAGAACAAGAATGCTTACTTTTTTATGCTTCTTCCTTTCTCTGATTTTATTTTTAATTTCCATACAATGAGAAAATAAATTTCATAATATGGTTTCAAAATTGTAGTTACACAAGAGCGTGGAAGGTAATATGGGAGACAATCTATTTTCTGGAATTGGCAATGAGGCACAAATTGAAAGCAAAGTTGTTCTGACATTTCAGAAAAACTTTGTGCAAGTTCAAAAAATTTTGGATCAAAACACGCTGTTAATCAACGAGATTAACCAGAACCACGGATCCAAGATCCTGGATAATTTGACTCGAAATGTGGGTCTAATTCGAGAGCTCAACAACAATTTTACAAGGGTGGTTGGTCTCTACGCGGATCTTTCCAACTCTTTCACCAAATCCATGGAGGAGGGCTCGTCTGAGGCCGATTCAACTAAGACTCGCAGAAGAGTTGGACAGAAGAGAATTAGGTCCAACAATTGACGGAATTTCGAATTTAGATGCTAAATTTGTAGTGAATTTTACAATTTTTCGTAACCTTAATCTTCGTTATGAACAATTTCTTTCACGAAAGAATAGTTTATACCAGCATTTTATGTTGTCAAATCTGTCTTTATCAAATCTTACTGTTTATATGTGCTAAAGATTTTCATAAGTCCCCCTTTCTTGCATACATTTCTACACTAGTTTTCTATTTTTATTACTCAGATCTGCTTTTCTGCATGCTTGGAAAAGGCAATGTCACAGCTTGGAAAACAAGGTTGAAAATAAGAGTTGAAATGATGTTAAACGATTGTATCACCTTAGTTTTCGATCAATTATTCTATGTGCTTCAATCAGGAGGCTTACTCAACGTAAAGGTAATGGTCCTTCCACTCAATGATGTAATGGGCAAGCATCAACTCAAAAAAAAAACGACAAGCTCAAGGAAATAATTCATGTTCATCGATAGGAGTAGGAATTCTGCTGTAGCTTCTCGAGTTCAATTAGGCTCATAGATTTGAAGTTTCTACGTAAATCAAGATTGAGAAAAGAAAATATTATTCTCCAAGGATCTCAATAAAAAGAATAGTTTGATCTGAATCTTTTCCAGTTGTCCTGCACCATCTTCTTCTGGTAGTACTTCTGATACAACTTTATTCTTTTTCCCACGTTTTTCGTGGCTTCAGTAATAGTTCCTAGCCTATTCACCTCTCCCAAGTGAGAACTGGCAATTTCTTCAGGAGTAATTTTAATAAAAGGATATTAATGAGCAATTTGGTTCGTAATTTGCAGCAAAATACAGAGCAGCCTACAAGACTTCCAACAATTTGTATGAAATTGTACTCAGATTAATTCCTCTTATTCTTTCTCCACCAGGTTGAACCGGGCTAAAATTTACAGTCATGTGAGAACTATCCTCGAACGTTGTTAAACAATAATTAACACGATGAACAATTTCCAAGTTTTGCAATCAAGTAACAAGTCATCGTTACAGATATGAGCCACTCAAGCTTGTCAAGTTAAATAAAACACAAAAGAGAAAAAGGAAGAAATAAGTATACCTCAATACCATCACCCCCACAACATGACCCACAAAGGAGTAATGCAAAAAGATGAAAAGAGAAGCAAGAATGAGGTATAATTCACAGTTCAAGATAACCAACTTGATGGTGAATCTTGTACATTTGAAAAGCATCATAGAACACTTTATAAACCTATTTGTAGAAGAAGTCAATCATAATTCACAAGTACTGCTGTTGAATTCTGGCTCTATTCCCTTCCCACCACAACCTTGCCTGCATTTCTCCAAACCTTTCTCGGCTGCACAACACATTCAATTCAAAGTCAAATACAACTTTCATGACTTCCTAAAACTACTCACAAACCTAAGCAGCATGTAAGTTTTTATTGACGTGGCTTGCAAACGAGACTAAAACATGAAAATCTTTGTTGCAAGTTACATGACATCGCTCGTACAGAAAAGTTTTAATATATGAATAAAGAGAATCACTCACCTGAACCGCACTCGTCTAAGCTCACGAGTGCCATCTGGCAACGTTCCGATTGTAATGTAGACTCCGGGTTCGTCTTGCTCAACCCACTCAGTGTCGAAATCACTGGCATTGCTCACTGAAAGCTCCCTGGAATGATCGGACTCTCTTGAAGAAATAGACTGTGCAGAAGCATCGATGGACGATGCATCAGTCTTTGCAGCACTAATGCTGGACAGTTTTGGCGTCGAATTAAGATCACCAGAGTCGTAGTAATGGCAAGATTGCATTTGGTGGTGTTCAACAGGGCTATGCTCAGCAGATTCAATTTTTGAGTTCTGAAAGAAACACTCTCTAATGTAACACAATATGTACATATATTGTTCATAAAAATGAAATTTATCTCCAAACTGCAGCCCTTGGTAACTAAAATTAGCACATTTTTCCCCTTCGTTAAAAAATTATCCCCCATCAAATCCCTATGTTCAATGCATTAGAAGCATGTATACTGCCGCATTATCTGCTCCCTGGTAACATCCAGGGAACCGAAGAATGAGTCAACAAGACAGCCAAATCATTTCAGGGTTTAGTTACTAATAACTACAAGCACCATCATCGAATAAATACATACATATATGATTCAAACCAGTTGAAAGAAGATGTCAATTTTAGAAAACAATAGTCACACTGTCAAAATTCGTCACCATTCTTTACAGCTGGATAATACCTAGTTAGGTCATGTTTCAAACAAAAGAAACAAAGAGGGAAATTTAGATAGATAGAAATAGACAGGAACTAAGCAATAAAAACAGAAAACAAATTATGGCAGAAGTAAAGCTCACCTCCTCATCAGATTTCTGCAGAGTTGTTTCTGGTACTGCTCGACGATTGAACCCCAGGACATTGTATAATTCCATCACTTTGTCATAGTTGTCTGCCCACCACCGTTGAGCTTTCCATTTGTTAAACATCTCTCGACTGGAAATATCATTAAGCGGAAGTTTGAATCCAATATTCGCAATTATTTGGATAAGCCACTTCAGAATGATGAAGAGTGATGAAGGAAAAAAAGATTCTATCTTGTAAATTTATGTATTACCACACAATTTAGACATTACATTACTGTAAAAAACAAACCTTGTGAAGTAAAGGCCTAGGGCACAACTGATGGGGACTATTAATGTTCATCAACTGAAATAACCCAATTCTTTTTAGAGTTATAAACAAAGAAGTTCCACCAAAATTTCATCCACCCCAATTTAAAAAAATAAAAAAAATGGTGCTTCTCTGTAGGCAAATTAACCCCAATCATTAGAAGGCAGTCCAATGAACTGCACTGAAGTGAAAAATAGGGACACAAGCCTAATTCATATTTCACAGAAACACACACAAAGCATTGACACGACTAAATATTGAACTCTTGAAATTTAACAAATTCATCAATGTGCATTTAGTGAGTCGGACCACGCGTAAGTAGATAAACAACAAGATGTTGGATGATTAATGTGGTAAAAGTAAAAGAAATCTAGTCTGTACTTGACTTGGGAGACAAAAGAAAGGTTAAAAGATGCCTACAAAGTGAGGAGTGAGGACCATCATACTTTGGTCCCTCCCTCATTTCTTTTTGTCTATCTCCTTGTTGAGCTTTAATCTTCCATGTTCAGTCCCATGATAAATCACACACAACAACTCGTAAAAATCAATCCCCTAACTTATTAGTTTCATAGCTCCCAAACAAATCAAAGCTTCCAGATTCTGATCAACGAGGATTTTGCATAGAACTTTAGAACTGAAATCAGAAATAATACCATTGAAAGCTTATTTGGATACAAATTTTGTTTCTTGATTGAAACTGTTTTCTTGTATATAATTTTTGAATATACAAATTTTAAACTGACTTATGTTCTAAAATTCATTTTCACTCTTTCATCTAATTATTACTTCCCACTTTCTACTATTCTTGAACAAAAATTCTATTTATATCATGTAAATTAAATACACCATAAAGTTAGAATTTATATATGACAAATCTCAACACAAAAGCTGACAGCAGTAGTACCTGAATTGAATCCTTTTGAGATCATTTCCTCCTTGAGGCAATGAAATAAAAGTAATGAGCACACCAGGCTCCACCTGTGCAACCCACTCTTTGGGCTCATCCTCCTCCATGAACACCACTGATACACTTCTACAACTAACTGAAGACGGCGTGCCTTCACCGCTTGAAAGGGCCTTTAGTTTCGCTTCCATTTCCTTCCCCCATAGCTTTGGGTGGTTGTTTAAGTTCTCTGTCCTCCTATAGGAGCCATAGATTCTCTCTGACACCCAGCCGGCTTCCGAGTCAGCGTAGGCTCGGCTTTGGTTGTTGCTTGAGGAGCGGGAACAAGGGTTGCAAGACTTGTAAGCACCAGATGCCTTTATTGCCATATCCTTGATCTAAAACACAAGTACCCATATAATTTAAATTGGTATTTAAAAACCCCCACAAATAATAAATGATGAATTAGAGAGGAGTTTGCAGTGTTAAATCACCTGGTTGGTTAGGGCTTTGATTGGTTGTTTACTGGAGGGAGTTATGGCTGTGTCATCCTCCACTGGTGGGTCGGGAAGAGATCTGCCAGTTTGCCGCTTTGAACAAGCTATACAAGTTAACATATTCGGTTCAATGCCTCAATTTACTCGAGCCTCGAGGATTCACTGAAAATCTGAACAAAACAAAAAAATCACATCTTGCATTGAATAGGTTAGTAAATCCAACTTTTAAGGACTTATATATCAAAAGTCTAACATCATTACATTGAAAATACAGCAAATGCAAGAAACACCGTGCCCAGAAATCTGCAGTTACATTTTTAAGTGGAGAAAACAATGACACATATACTGTGGAGAAAACATTTCCAGAGAAAATCTGCAGTAGTGGAAGAGACAGAATATAGATGAAACGGGATGAGTGTGAAAATGGCCCTTGACCTTCGTAAAGAAGAGTAGGATGTAACCCAGGCGTTAAAGATGGAAGTGTAATGTACAGTGCATAGGTTCTGACGATTAGAAATTAGAAACTAGATCAAGGTAGCCGTTCATCCAGTTTTTTAATGCAGTAGTATTCTATTATAATTCAACACTCTCTCTCTCTCCCCAAGGTTATAGGTGGAAAGAGCGAGAAACCAGCAGCCATTTGTGCTATAATATATTTAGCTTCCGCGAATAGAGAAATCAAGAGGGATTGTGGATCTTTTGATGAGCGATTGAGTGTCGGGATTCGTGGGGGTCTCGAGGAAGAGATGGCAGGCACGAGACTTGAGATAGTTAAATGTTTGTTAAGCTTAAAGTTGAAATGGTGTCAATTAAGGTAGTGTTTGGAAGAGATTTTAGTAAAACAAATTTTCTTCAAAATCATTTTTAATTACAAATTTTATGGGATCTAAAAAATTTCTATTTTTGAACCCAACATTCTTCAAAAACTCATTTTTCACTTGAAATAATCTATTCCGAACAATCGCTTAATTGACATGGACAATTCTTCGAGGGATCCAAGATAATTGGAAAGTCATTTCCTAAGCAAAGGCATGTTCATCTTGTTCAACCATCCAAGGATGAGATCAACGGGTCGAAGACACTCATTTGAACTATTCATCTAATGTTGTTTGATCGTAACAACATAAACAGAGGCGAACAAAGCCATATCCTTTGAACATTAATGAAACAAGATCCAACCATGTCATATAAATTAACGCAAATTCATATTAAGCAGTAGGACCAAAAATATTGAGTTATGCTACATGTACAAAGTTGGATTACAAAATTGATTGACAAAATAATATCTACACCAATCATTTAAAAATAGATTTTTAAATCATTTGAAATTAACGGTCTGAATTTTTCCAACACACTTTGTAACCCAAATTTTGTAACTCAACTTTGTACAAATAGATTCATTGAAAAATATTTGATCGTGTTGGCATATGTCCTTTCTCGATATATAAATATATTTAGCTTTTGGTACAAAGGCCACCGGTTGAGAGAATAGTAGCTCTAAAAAGACTGTTTTTGAACTTTTACAAGTAATAATGGAACTCACAAAGAAGATTCTTAAATAAAGGAGTTTAAGTGGCACAATCTTTCAATGTGAAGGCTTTTTCAGACATTATACTTTGCTTGCCGTGTCAGATGATAAAGCAAATTTGTTTTTAATTCTAATGCATTTTAGTACAAGTTTCCTCTTGCTTCAATTGTACTGAGATATCATGTGAAAAGTTACGGGATGTGCTCGTTTAGAAGTTTGGGGAGGACCAAGTTTGTGTTCTTGGCCTTTCCCGACTCATTCGTGGCCGATTGGTTCCGTAGAGGTAGAGCATTTTAGCTTTGTACGAAGTCCGAAAAAATTGGTGAAAGAAAGTGTCATCGTGAGTATATATGCAACTTAGTTATGTGCTCGAACATGTTGAAGAAGCAAGACTTTGTCAAGCACCTTTTCTCTAACGAAGTAATAGATCCAATTTAATGTGCTTCGATTAAATTATTGAATTGTTGTTGTACTGTCGATTTATTTACTATATTGATTTTTTAAATATCAGCCCTCTCTAAACGAAATTCGGAATTTGCCTGTGAGGCTTGGTACATAAACTGATGCAACAGAATAAAATTATAAACGACAATATTTGTTAAAAGTTGTATAAAATTACGTGCCACTGGCCCACAGTACAAGGGCAAGTCCTTCACTTGATGCACTACAGGAGGAATGTTTGTGTTCCAGATGGCGTGGTATGCAATCTACGCCTTAAAACTTTTCTTATTTGAGATCGATTTTATATAACTACTTTTATAATTGATTTTCTGAAAAATATTTTTTTTTTTGCATGATTAAAAAATAAGGATAAATTTTAAATATATGTAAAAAATTATTTTATTTAAACAAGATGTGTGGTTGAAAATGAAATAATAAAGAGATGCAAGTAAATCCGTCCTAGGCATTTGGTTAATTAAGTATATGGTAGTTGATACTCGACATGATATGCAGAATTTGAGAGGCATTGATACTTGACCAAGAAGAGTAGTCCAAACTCAACAACGTGCACAAGCCAACATTTTGTCGTGAAGTATGAAGACAAGAAACTCTACAGACAAGTCCATGAGTTCTAAAAGAGTTCGTCAATGAACGATACTTCTCCTCACCAATCGGATTGAACCATTCGAATTTTGTTATCAAAGAGTAATTCAACTTGAGCTTTGAATTGAAGAAATACTTGAGATTCGGATTTCATTGACAAGACTCGCCCAATACCGAAAGCCACTAGTCGAGGGGTCCCATATATCAGAATGAATAGGACCCAAAGGCTCGTTGTAGACAGTGTTTGAATTTAGAAAAGGCAGCTTGTGGCTTTTGCCTAGTTGGCATGCAGAGCAGAAACTCGAATTTTTATTTATTGCAACATTACCACTACATTTGGAAACAACTAGTTCACGCTGGTATTAGATGATTGGGTTTGGAGAAATCAATAACAGCATCGCTGTGTGACCTCCTTCGTTGACTAATGCCATCAGTGAATGGACATCCAAAATTTGTCAACCCAACTTATGTTTATAATGAGAGACAAGATCAACTAGTCGCTTAGATGGTGGGGCTGTGACACAACCATGAAAATCTGGCATCAGATTGAAAATATTTTTGGTGCTCGGATTTAAGTAAAGGCTATGAAAGGTGTTACGCCTCACCACCGAGGCTCCAGAGGTAACCCACATGGCATCCCACTTGGAGCTTATTCAAGGAAAAACAGCCATCATAGATCTCCTTTAGATAAAATTCGAAACCCAACCATCGAAGTACCAAAGCTGTTTTGGTTTGGAGGCTCAATCCGAAGAACAACGTTTAGGACAAAATCACTGAAGTACAGAAGCGGTTGTGGTTTGAAGGTTCAAATCGAAGCTTACATTTGAATTGGAGTGACCTTTGTAATAAAAGAGGTGTCAAATCTTGTTAGCATAAGATATGGGGTGACTGCCTCTTTAAAAACATTAAATGCGCCACATGCTAGTTACGTTAGATTGATGCTGTTAGAATTTGGTTGTGACCCGAATTCCTTGTTGAAGTAATTAAAAAATTCTAATTGAAGTGCACGTCAAGAAGAATTCAATTTGGAATGCTATTGGAATCCTATGTTAAGTTGAAGTTCTATTTCGGAAGTCCATTGTGAGTTGGAAATTGGTATTAGACTTGAAGAAGGGTTCGAGATGGAAAAAATAACTTGGAAGAAAAGAAAAAGTTTTGGGTAGAACGCCCGGCTCCGCAGCACNTTGGACATCCCCTACTTATTTCCTACAAATACTAGGTTTTTCTATACAATTTTATTATGTGAGAAAATAGATTACTAGAATTATAGGATATATTTTAATTTTTCTCTTTTCTCTATTATTCTTGAGTTAATAAAATCTCTTAATTCACTTGCCATATTCTTGTCCTTATTATTTTTTTACTTGATCATATACTTCATTATTATTTGTCATACAACTTCAACATCTCAATCCGGTGGTTTGTTTTACAATAATCGGTATTAGAGATATTATGGTATCTTATTTGTTTTACAACAATTAGTATCAGAGCCCAAGTTCAATAGTTCCTCAGCGTTAGGGTTTTTTTTTATTTGTTTGAAGTTTTTGTTCGTGATGGCTACCTAAAGTATGACATTTCGCTTTTGGATCGAAAACTATATTTTCGCTATGACAGGTTAAGATACGTGCAGTACTTGCACAGCTGTATTTGGATTATGCGTTGTTGGGTATTGATAGGATGCTAGGAACTTTGACCGCGGAAGAGAAATTACAGAAGGACAAAAAGGCAATTTCTCACATTAATCTTCATCTATCAAATTTCATTCTTCAGGACGTTTTGAAGGAGAGGTCAGCAACTGCTTTGTAGTTGAATGTGGAGCAATTATGCATGACCAAGAGTCTTACAAGCAAATTGCATCTCAAACAGCAGTTATACTCTCACTGCATGGTAGAAGGAAGATCATTGGAAGATCGCCTGCTGTATTTAAGAAGATCGTCTCTGATTTAGAAACATTGGAAGTTAAGTATGATGGAGAAGATTTTGCCTTGATCTTATTGTGTTCATTGCCCGCTTCGTTTTCTTCATTTAGAGACGCAATTTTGTATAGCCGTGATACTCTCACCATAGAGAAAGTGTATGATGCTTTGTATTCAAAAGAGTGAAACATCTGGTTTCTAAAGCCAGAGATGGAGAATGCATGGTTACTCATGGTCGTTCTGGAAGGGGCATATCGAAATCTAAGTTCAGTAATCAAATTTGTAACTACTACAAAAAGAATGAGCATTTAAAGAAGGATTGCTACAAATTGCAGAATAAATAAAGGATGGTTGCAAGTAGATATTCAGATATTTCAGGCGAAGCAGACATCGTGGAGAACGTTGTAATTCATGGGGAACTCTTATCTATTTTTGACATTGAGTCTAAATCAGAAGATGATTGGATTCTTAATTCAGCATGTGTGTTTTATATGTATCATAATAATGACTTGTTTGCTACATATGAAACTGTTTCCAAATGTGTCATGGTTATGGAAAACAATGCATCTTGTCGGGTTACTGGAATTGGTACAGTCAGATTAAAACTTTTGGGTGGGATAATCAAAACATTT